GCTGAACAGCCTGAGCATACCAGGAGCTCAGAAGGGAGGAGCTCCACAGCTTCAGCTAAATGTTGAGTCTCTCAAGTTCTAGTTTTAATCTATGCCTGCATTTCTGCCTTTACTGACCATGTCTAGTCCATGTATTTGATGGGTTTATTCCACATGTATTTCTGACCCTGACCATACACAGCAAAGGACACCTACTTCATGTCAAATCAGCCACTGACTAGAAGTAGGTCCAAATGTCCGCTTAAAATAAAAAACCCGATCGATGCAAGTACCTCCAAACTATCAGCCAGACCTGAAAAAGGCTGAGGAAGGGAATGAAAGCACTTGAACAAGAACATTCAGAGCTCTGACTTCCATCTCAGACTTTGGACAAACAAGTTAGACTGCTTTTATGCATCTCAGTTCTTCATCAGGAATAACACCTTCTTCCACCTTGAGGTGTTCAGACCATAATCTCCCTGGGCAGGAGCTCTCTCTCTTCTTACACATTTAAATAGCGCCTTGCACAGTAGGATGCCCCATTTGGTCAGTTCTAAATACAGTGTGACAAATGTCTAATCTTTGCAAGGTGGGGAATTTGGCTTTTGGGGAAGTGTGAGGCCCTCCCTCCAGAGGAAACAAGGAGGTTCACTCAGAGCTGCAATGGCTCCAGCAGCCAGGAGTCTGCCTCTTGCCTCTCCCTCACTGTCCCTTTCATTATGTCAAGAAACTGCTAGTGGGGCCACATGGGAAACCAGCCAAATTACGGAGTGGACTAAAAAAAAAAATCCTTTGTCCCACAAAGAGCTAATTTGTGGGACAATGGGGACAGCAAGTTGCAACCTGAGTTTGGAACACAAAGCCAAGAACAGCATTTCTTAAGCTATCTTTGCTGCTGAAGACATTGCCTAACATCAGCTCCTACCTTTATCCAGCCCTGCATTCAAAGAAAATGAGCAACCAGAGCTGAGGTAGGGAGAATTTGCCATCTCATCACAGTGGGTCTACAAGTCCATAGAGGCTCAAAATGAAGCAAGGAACAAGCCTCCCTGTCCAGATGTCAAAAGCAGCTAAGTTTTAGTAGAAACTTGGATGACAATATGAGCTGCTCTACTGTCAGCTTAAGCAAGGCTGTAAAAGACGGCACATGATTTTTTTAGTATCATTCATATTGAAGTTCTCACAGCACAAGGCACAGAATTAACTGTTACAACAGTGGCTCACCAATAATCTATAAAGGCAGCTTCATACACTGACTTTCTAAAGCCTTGGTCACTAAAACCAATTACAATATGAAAGGGAATAAAGATCACCTGGTTCTCTTTTCTGAAAGATTCACTTCTTGACTAAAACAACCATGATAGATCATAACACTTGGGCCCAGTATCCACTCCTGACTTAGCCAAGAGTATGCAAGCAAGAGATGCTGTCAGCAGTTTACCTGTAGTCAGGATCAGCTGTAACAGTGCATAATAGGATGCTGTACTGCATTAAATCAATGTTTATATTGAGGAATAGAGTCCTAATCAATAGCAGCATATGCGTTATTTACAAATACATTAATACTGAATGCTGAAGATAGGAAGTCAAGATTAAGACAATGACTTCAGCAATGGAAGATGGCTATTATGAGTGAAAGGAGAGAAAAAAATTGATCAGACGGGTGGATTTTGAGAGAAGGTCATCAGTAAACATAGACAGCTCTGGTACAGGAGGCAGGATGGAAAAAGCAGTCAGTGACAGGTGAGGCAGAATGCAGCAGGCAGCAAAAAGCACCACATGACAGAGTCCTAGTGGGCTTCCAAAATATGAGGCATTAGGGTGCAGTACAGGAAAGGGCCAAGAGGCACATCCCAAGCGGCAACTAGGACGGATGTGATCAAAGAGTAAGAGAGACTTCGCTTGTTCCATCTTGGACAGACTGGGAAGTAAAACAGCCATCCAGAACCTTATGAGAATGACCCCAAATGCCAGGGAAGAAAAGACTACCAAAACTGAGTCTGGAGACCAAAGAAAAGGGTTATTTCAAGTCCTGTTTACTTGGCAGCACACCAAGTGGTTTTTGTTCACCTGAAATGTCTGCCTCAGGTGCACTGATATTGTGCAGTATCATTCTCTACCCTCCAGAAGTACATTCAGACTGCACCATACACATTTTTAAATCATGTAGAAGTAATCAAGTACTTAGAAAATGTGAAATAATATCAGTAATTCACCAGCTTTTGAAGTCAAACTACTGAGATGAGCCTCTCTAATGCATTCTTTTCCTAGGTTCTACGTGCTTATTGGAAATTACCATAGTAAATTAGTCACATTATAGCAACTAGAACTTGGTTTAGTTACCCTCAGTCTCCAACCAGGAAGCTAATTTATATGGCAAACATGTACTATTTATGTACCATTCTTGTATGTCACAGTGCAATTACTCTGAAGTTCTGTTTTTCCACCCATGTACCTAGCACGCAGTTACACAAACACCCAAACTAACAGCATAGTTTACCACAAGGTTGGGTACAACCATGGTATTATAAGTCAGAAGTACTGTTCTTCCCACACTGCTTTTCTACAACAGAGGTGTAGGTCCATCCCTAGAAATATGGGGATATTGTTATCATTAAACTGTCAGCAGCAGCATGTAGATCTACTGCATTTTCAAACACTGGATTCCTTTGTTTCCACTCTGCTCAGACTGTATTTTCCTAGCTGATGCTCTGCTGAGGACACAGCCACACAGACAATCCTATTTTTTAGTGCCACTTCTCCAGTGCTGTTTCCAGATACCATTTTGGCAGAACAAAGCCAGAACCTGAATGCCAGCATCTCCTGCCTGTACCTTAACCAGTGAAAAATATTTCCAAGGAACAGGTACCTTCTCACCTGCAGGAAAACCCAGTGTAAAGCAGGTTTAACAACTAAAGGTTTCTTAACTTCACTGACAAAAAGCAGGAATAGTATAAAAGGAGAATAAAGAACTGCATTTTCTCCTGTGGAGTTATTCCTGAAGATTTACGTAAAACCTGGGACAACCAGGACTGAGAACTGCCATTAGAGATAGGCTGTGGCCATATTAAGAGATCAGAATGAAATACAGCAGAATCTCTAAAATTAAGGGAGGCCACACCTCCGTTCGACAGCTGTAACTGGGCTGAGAATAACTCCACTAGGACTGCGTCATCTCTCTGAAAGGCAGCAATTTCTTCCCAGTAAAGCTCCTCTAGGGAAACCAATATCTATTCTGTATGCTTGTCCCCACGGAGTATTTTGGGGAAATGAGTATCCCACCTAACAGATAAAGAATTCTAGGGAGAGATGTTTCAGTCAAGGTCACACAATGACTCCCTGCTGAGGCTGCCCCTGTCGTTCAGTGCCTCTCACACTCACAGCCGTTGTCTTTAATCAAAGGCAAAAGCCTTGGGGATTTTCTGTAGTCATTAAATCAGCCAGGTCATCTGCTTGGAGGAAAAGATCACGAACAGGGAAGAGCATCTCCCCTCTTGCAGCAGAGTAATCGCGATGTACCAGTTCCACACAAAGAATGGAGTATCTGAATTGCTCGGGGCGGAGGAAAGCAGGGGGGCTGTGGGCGTCCCCTGTGCACCCCACTTAGCTGCACCGCCAGCAGAGCCTGCCCACAGCCGTGCAGGACTGGCCATGCAGCAATTTCATCCCGGGGGTCTTCCGGACACTCCCCAAGAAAGGCAGCACCCGTGGCAGCACCCACTGCTGCAGAGGGAGCTCCCCAGGCACAGACAAGGCTGGCAGCTGAGCTCCACAGGAGCAAGCCTGTCCCCAGACCACCCTCTCCAGACAGAAGGATAGATTTTTGACTCGTCCTTCCTCCCACAGTCCAAGTGACACTCAGGAACAGGCACACCGACATCCTCTCTGGATACAGGGATGCACTCAGCCTTGCCCCGAGCATCCCCTGCACCCTCAGGGAATGCCTTCCCACCCTCCCCCACAGAGCTACCATAGCAACCCACCCCAGCGCACAGACCCTGTAGAAACGCTCTGCAAATACACTCCCTTACACATCCCCATCTGCACATCTCAACACACCTCCCTGCCATACAGACCCTGCACGAACTGTATTCACAGGCAGCACATGAACTCCCAACGCCCCCTCCACACACATCACCACACAAGAACCCCCTCTTGCACACAGAGCGCAACACACCTCCACGCACTCCCTGAGCACAAACCCCAGCACACACCCTGTGCATGAACCCCCTCAAGGAATCCCAACACCTCCTCTGCCATTAACCCTCCTTCCACCTTCCTCCACATACAGGTATCAACCTCCAAATTTCACCAAGCGCTAGCCCCCCCTATCCCCCCAACACCCTTCTCCACACACACACACACCTTGGTCATTAACTCCCCCCTCTAAATACACTGTGTGACCTCCCAATGCACACCTCCACACACTGTAAAAACCCCCACACCCCGCCTTCCACACATCCACCATACCCACCCCACACGCACCCCCAAC